AATGAAGCTTGATTCATCCATCTCTAATTACATAATAATTACTAACACTATAGTTTAGGATTTATGTTCTGTATTACAGTAGTCATACACCATGATTAGCTATTTGTCTAAAAAAGACATTCAAGATGTGCTAATTGAAAGCATTTTGAACATTCAGAACCAAACTCAGCTCTGGGATAGCTCTGGGGTAGTGCTACAGACACCGAACCCAGGGCCAAGTACACAGAGGCAGTTCTCCTGGTAACTGACAGTGATCATACATACAGCTAATGACTCTGGAACTGTCATCTAGTGGGCAGAGCACTGTCGGGGATCTTATTAATAAAAATAACTGATAGAGCTTTATGTTGTTTTAAGTTGGGTCTAAATATAATACATGGAAACTTTCAGAATGATTCATATAATAAAGACTTTCCTGAAAAACAAGTAGGTGTATATTTATACTCTGATATAGCTCTGACAGTGACATTCCCCAATTCATTTCAATCCCACAACACAAAGGCCTAAAAGTCTCCTGGTTTTTTTTTTTTTTTTTAAAAAAAAAAAAGGCATTTCAGGTAAGGCGCCTAGGTGGCTCAGTCACTTGAGCAGTTGGTTCTTGGTTTTAGCTCGTGTCATGATCTCAGGGTTACTGGATGGTGCCCACATCAGGCTCCACACTCAGCAGGGAGTCTGCTTGGGGGTTCTCTCTCTCTTCCTCTGCTCCTCCCTTGTTCTGTGCTCACTCTCTCTCTCTAAAGTAAACAAATAAATCTTAAAAAAAAATTACAGGAAAGAGAAGGTAAGAGTAATTAATTACATCAGAAAAATGAGTGGACATAACATTTATTTCAAGAATTGAGTACTTTTGCATTTACACTGTTAAAAGTAATCCTGGAATATGGCAAAGGAATAGGCTCTAGAACTAAACTGACCTAATTCTATTCCTTCTTCCACTTCTCAGGGGCCTGATTACTAGAATAAGTCATTCTATAAACTTCAGTTTCCTCTTCTCCAAAAAGAAAATAATGGTATAGCTTACAGCCAATGTACAGATTTAATAAAACAATAAAAGTATCTAGCACATAGCAAATATTATAAATGTTAGTTCAAATCTATAATGTCAATTTATCTTATACTTCTTAATAACTACCACTAACTTGGGTGAATAGTCTGTATTGGCATCGTGCTTCAGATGCTTAAAGGTTCTTAAGAAATGTTTCTACTGCCTGGCTTACTTTCTCTAAAGCTTATCTGCAGCATCCATCAAGATCCAAAACAGATACAAGTCCTATTTCCCACTTCAAAATGTGGTCCTGAATACAGATTGTAAAATTTCTCTGGGTTTGGGTCTTTCACTGTAAGATAAAGAGGACTGGACCAAGTCATTTGCTCCCAATTTCATTTGCTTTAGGTTGCTGCTAAGCACCTCTCAAAACTTACATGAAAGGTCCAGAGAAGACCTTAGAAAAAAATAAGAGAAGTGTTGGCCATAAAACTTTTCTGATCATAAAGGATAGGAAGTAGTCACTGAACACACTGCTCCTCTCCCTTGATTCCTTTCCCACCTGCCCTCTTGTAATAGGACAAACGGTGGTGAGCAAGGAGCTGGACACATCTTGGGTGAGTGTCTGTGTCTATCTCGGCTGCATAGATGCAGGCAGCTGCATCTGCCTGAGGTCAAGTCCAACCAGGGAGGAAGGAAAGCATGCTAACCCTAGCCTCCATATCCAAGCCTGAACTGAGAGCCCACACAGCCCTTTCTGGCTATCCATTAGCAAGGCAGCAGCTGATGCTGGCCATACTTAACCCCACAGTTTCCAACTACATTCCTGACTTCTCTGGGCAAACACCTCAACATTCAAGTACGCTCCTCCATATAAGCAGTCACCATGTCACATCACTAGGCAGCACTGGAGACATGCACTGGAGAAAGTGGCAAGGACTGAAGGGAGTGGGAAGACTCTAGCCACAAATGTTTCCTATTTTTTGTCCCATTTATTGAACTTTTTTCCTTAATAGGTTTTAATAGATCAAATCCTTTAAAAAAATAGATCAGATCCTTAATAACAGTCATGGCAGAAGGGTGGGGCCGTGGAATTAAACTGATGCTAGGTGCTTTCCAGCTATAAATATTATACAACTACACAACATAATCATGCATAAACATCTACTTTACACTTGGATCTACTAGGAACACTTCTGGCAACCAAAGATAAAGCTAAAAAGACCACAGCCTAGAGAAATGACACAAAGCACTAAAGCTCAAAGACTGCCAACTCCCTACTACTTACTCCTCATCCCCAAAGGGCTGTCCTCCTAACTTATCCATAATCCTAACAAGTCTTTAATGACTGTTTCACTGGATTCACTACAAACTGGAGAGAGGAACCAGAAGAGGAATAAAAAGTTGTCAGCCTGAAAACAGAAGAGTAAAAATGCTTCAAATAAGAGGAAACAACCAAAACTCAAAGACCATTTAGTGACAGGCAGAAAAGCCCTGCTACCCCATCTGCTAGCTGCTGAGGGGAGCATAACTTAAGGATAACTCTGAATCACTAAGAAAAGGGTAAGTTCAAGTTCTCCATTGTACAAAGTCAGAGAACAAGTATGATACATTTCAGCAAAGTTTCAATAAAAGCCAATTAAAAATAGATTAGAATATGAAAAAAGATGCTCAACATGTCATTACAGACCCGGAAATTAAAACAGAAATGTTATACCAGTACACACTTATTAGAGTAGCAAAATCAGTAGCAAAATCACTGACACCACCAAATACTGGAGAGGACGTGGGGCAACCGGAACCCTCATTCAATTGTTGGTGGGAATGCTAGATGGTAGAGCTCCTATGGAATATGGTTTGGTGGTGTCTTACAAAAGTCCAACATACTCTTAACATATAGTCCAGAAAGCACACTCCTAGGTATTTACTCAAATGAGTTGAAAACTTATGTCCACACAAAAAACTGCCCATGAATGTTCACAGCAGTTTATAGCAATTTCTAAAACTTTTAAGCAACCAAAATGTCCCTCAAACAGATGTGAACATCCATGTAACAGACAAAAAGAAATGAACCATTAAGCCTCAAAAAGACATGGGGGAACCTGAAGTGCAAATTGTTAAGTAACTGTAGGATTCTCACTATATAACATTCTGGAAATGGCAAACTACAGAGGCAGTGTAAAAAAAAAAAATCACTGCCGGGGACTATTCTGTATGATCTTGTAATGGTAGATATAGGACATTATACTTTTATCAAAACCCACTGAACTGTACAACACAGAGTGAACCTTAAGGTAAACTATGTACTTTAGTAATAATGTATCATAGTGATTCAAGCATAACAAGAGTATATATACCAAGGTGAGATGTCAAGATATCAGAAAGGGGCTTGGAGCATTGGGGGGGGGGGGGGAGAAGGGAGGAAGAATTCACCTCACTGTTGAGATTCTCCGCAAATCTACACTGCTCAAAAAATACAGTACAAATTTTAAAAAATAGTTTTGGGAGATCTATAAAATAAGATACAGTCATCTGGAAAATTCACCATATGGAACATCCATTTTGCAATGATGTTACACAAATAAGGCCAAGTATATTTATTAAACCAGTTAGAATTAACTGAAAAGCCACTCTTACCTTATCTGCATCAACACTGAAATTATCAGTATAATGTACGGCAAACAAAAGAAGTCAGTTTTACAATATGTGGTTTTTAAGAACATAAACTCTGGGAAAAGTCACTCCTTACTGGTGAGGGGTTTGTTACTTTCACTGGTGGCATTAAGTGGACCAGTGATTGTAGATCAAATAGAAACCACAAAGAAAACAACAAGCAACACTCTAGGAATTTATTACCAAATCAGAACCTATACACAGACAACTAAGCTCATGGGACTAGCAAAGTAGCAGCTCAAAATGTAAGGAAAAGCACTGTTTAAGGGATAACAATTTAGAAACATCTTTTTCTTTAATTAGGTTCGAAACACTGAGAGACAAACACTGAAACAAGAATCTTAACCAGACACAAACCATCTTAACATGTAATGATCTACTGGAAACTATCCACACGATGATAACTGAAGGCAACTCCCTGCTACTGTACCAATACATGAACAGACCTATGTCTGTTTATACACAAAATGTATCTATTTTGTGTTTTCATAAAATACGTGGGTTCTTAGAGAATGGACACAAGAATAACTGGGTTCCAAGATTTTTACATTAAGTTTGCATTTATGAAGCTAAGAGAAGTGAAGTGAATGTGTGTCTTGTTTGAAATGACTCCTTGAAACAAAACACATCTGAATAAAGAAACACACCAAAAAAGGAAAGAGTCCTCCAGACATTTCACAGAGGCTTAATTTGGAATAGATGGCTTTGCAAAGGCAAATTATTTTAAATAAAAATTTCAAGATTAAAAAAAATGTAGTGGGAGGAGGGCAAGAGGAGAGAGAAGGAAGTGCTTAAACAAACAAATCTGCATAGATGATGAAGAAAATATAAATATGGTTTCAGTTCATTCCTTCCTAAAACTATGCCTGGTTAACTGAGGTAGACTCTGAAAAAAACAAGTGCAAAGATTCAGGTTTTCCAAAGGGCAATATATAGTCATTTCAGAGGTGGTAAAACAAAAAGTGTGTTTTATGAACACAAAATTAAATAGGAGCCCTTTTACGGGAAGAAAACACCTTCATACTAATTCCATATTTGTTATGCCAAACTTCCAAATGTATAAAACCTACATATTGGCAGTGACAAAGCAATATCCACGTTATTTATAGACATATATGAAATAAGGTTGATCAAGAAATGAGAATGGTAAAATAAAAATAAATGCCATTACCTTAATAATTATCCTTTCTTTTTTTTTTTTTTTTAATTAACAAACAAGTCACTTGGAAATTTAGAAATACCATCCAGTTAAAGAGTTGTCTGGAGCCAGAATAAACATTTCAAGAACTACTGTTAATTTGTGAATTATTAAAAATGTATCTATTATCTTAGAGATTTTATTTTTAAAGTACTTATACAGTTTCTACATCAAGAAACAATACTAAAAGCAAATTTCCTTTAAAAATTAAATAAGTATGGAAAGTCCAATTTAAAAGTATAAATAAGTAAATATAGTAATTATAACAGAGTTTTTACCCTTTTCTACAAAAATAATTAGTGGAAATGAGAATATAACATATGAGGTTCAAATATTTTTATTTCCTAACAAGCCCTCCAAATGTAGTTCTACTCTTTCTATTGTGACAAACTTTTAGGTCCACATAAATATTATGTGCATCACAGATTAAGTGATATGTAAAAAATACCATACAATCAAACAATTAAGGAACAAAAGACACAGAAAAATGTCAGAAGAAAAATTACTATTGTTTCCTTCAAGTTAATGTGGCCCTTTCTTGGAAAAGGCCAGCAGATATCTTTAATATTTTATACCTATCACACAGGATACAGGTTAAGGTGATTTATTAACTAAGATAAAAGAAAGAGTGGGGATCTACTGATACACAAAAAGGACTCAATAATCAAGATAATACTGAAGGAGCCAAAGCCCACACAACATGAAATACCTGCCTAAGTCCTTCACTTTAACTCCAGTTAGGGTGGAGTAGAGGGAAACATAACTATGTCATTTTACAATTCTCATCATAGATTTAACACTATATAAGAAACTTCCAATGCAGGAGCTCACACAAACTCAAGCTGTGCAAAACCTAAAGAATATCAGTAACTTTGTGTTCAGTAGAGTCAGGCTACATAGAGCCAAGAGAATGAGTGACAATTATATTGTACACTGGAGCTGTATGCACATATTTTTTTTCTCTTAAATACCTGTATGTTTGTTCATAGTAGATACTGCTTGCTCACTTTTTGAGTAATTAGTGGTTTCAGCCTATACTTTTCAGTCAAATATCACATCATAAAACCTGCAATCTCAAGAGCTCAACTAAAGCCCCTAATTATGCAGCTAGACCACAACATGTTTCCTCTTCCAAGCAGTCTTGCTTTTTCTGGAGACAGAGGCCCAAGCCCAAACTGTGTTTTGATCATTCTAGAATCTCTACACTGCCACTGACTAGAAGATAAAAGCCTGTGCATCGTTATTTTCCTGTGTGGATTTCTAGAAGGCTTCAGCCTGTATTTAAAAGTCATTTGTCTGGTAATTTCATCAACACTAAGTTCCTTTAAAAAATAAAATGATTATGAGAGCAAAACATTTACCATAAACATGTAACATGCATACATGTTTATCATAATTACACATGTGCCATAATTACAAGTGTACATGTTTATAATATACATGAACTTTGGGAAATGGCTCATGAAAATAGATCTATGATACATTGTTCAAACAAACTTTTTGTTTTAAAGCAGATTTAAAGGAGAAAAAGAGAAAAACCTGTATATATTATCTTTCCAAAGCATATATAGATTACTGTGCCTCTCCTTTTAAGATTTGAACTCATTTAATTAGTTGGAGCCAGAAGCAACACAGTGTAATTATAGGAAGTGCCCAGTCAGAACTGCACAGCCTGGTCCAACTTTGTAAGCCACAAAGCTTTCACCCAAGGGTCTTGTACACAGTAAGCAACCAATGCAAGTCCGCTGAACAAAGGAACTATCTGATCAGATATCTGCAAGACGGAATAGTACAAAACCCAGTCCTAAGATAATTGTGTTGCAGAGCCCAAGATATCAGGTTTTTAGATGATGTAAAGGAACCAAATCGTTCTAATTTGATAATGCAACATAGAAAAAAGAAAGCAAAACACCAAAATTTTCTCATTCTGAGTAAGGCAACATACCATCTTGTGATAAAGACAGCATACATACTGTGTACAGTAATGGCTGGATAGAACACCTGAGCCATCTCCTCAAGATCCTTGAAGGGGGTTAAGAAATACAAAGCATTCCCCATCCATTGACAGAACAAAATGAGAAAGAGGGAAATAAAAAAGTACACCTGATTCACCATCATAGCAAAGATAAGCTTCTAGGAAGCTTGAGTGTCCAAATACTACTTAACTGGTAATTTTTTAAAATCATAATTACCATATCATTATCCATGAAGGATTTTAAAAAGATGAAATACATGCCAAGACAAATAACACAAGACCTAGAAAAACAGTCTAACAAGTTTTAGCAATCAAAACAGATATGTTTTAATGGCTGCCCCTAGGACTTCAGGAAAAAAAAAAATGTTACTGGATAGCAACAGTTTGCAAGGTCATCTTAGTGTGATCATTTATTTCTTTATTTTAAAAGTTCATAAATAAAACTTATTTCAATTTTTTAAAATAAATTAATTCAATTAAAATAAAATCATGATGTCTTATAATTTTAACTCTTATAAACTATGCCTCAGAGGAAAGGGGGTAACTTACAGCATTGCATAAAATACTGGAGTTTTGAATCAGACTTAAGTTATCTGAAAATTATATAATTCTTAACAGGGAAAAAAATTCTCTTAAACCAAGATACTAGGAGTTTTTTTGTTGTGTCTAAAAAGTTCTATTATTTTTAGTTTTAAACCAGTGGGTACTCTCCAAAATGGAGAATTCAAGACAACATCAAGTATAAACTTTAAAAAGCATCACCATTAAAGCACAGGTTGCCCAACCTAAATGGGATAAATGTAACTTTAAAAAAATAAACAACAGGATATTCTACTTGTGATTAGATACACACCATCTACTATTTTTGGCCTCTTGTTATCATCTAACCCCTGCTGAACTGAATGTGCATGTCAGATTTCTATTCTAATCTTACTATATGTAGTGTCTAAGTTCTCAACCTAGACAAGAAATTTTAAAATTTCAAATGAATGTCACTCATTAAATACAATGCTATTTTGTTAAACTAGCTGTCTGGAAAACTATAAAGATTTTGTTTTGTTTGTTTTGCATTAGCCACAGAGAGTGGACTTCTTTAGAATACCAAAGTATTTATTTAGAATATGAAAGTCAAGTTCAGCAAAAATCAATGTTAGAGCTGAGGAAAATAAAGGACTTATCTGAATGTATTGAAAGAAAAGTGAAAATAAATCCAGAATTCTAGAATGGAGAAGTGCATCTTATGCAATCCCACCCTTCCCACATAAGTACCAGCAAAAAATACTAAAGACCAGAGAAACAATCTGACAAAACACTTCAAAGACCACAAGGCATGAGGTTATCGTAAAACTGAATAAATGATTAGATAGCTAATAGAAGAAATGGTAGGGGAGGAGAGGGTTAAAAATTCAACTATATGATAGACTGTGACAGTAAGAGTGGAATTCTAAAGGTCTAACTAACAAATTCCGTATTTAATTCAAAACTATCATTTTTAACAATGAATTTGACACAAACCCAGTTTTGATGTTAAAAGTTGACATAGATAGGTCCCTCATGCTCAGAGCCAAGAATAGAAAAAAACAAAAACCAACAAGTACAAGTACAAAAGAGAGGTCCTTCAAAACCCTTTGTAAACAAGCTTCTCCAAGAGCATACTGATCACTCTTCAGCCTCCCTGACATACTGCTTTGTATGTGCAATATTAACGCATGGAGTACCAGCACAAAGCCAGGTGATGGAGACTATCAGGCTCCCTATGTAAGCTTTTCTTCTTTCCCAGCTATATTTATATCCTTTGTGGTTTTAGGTTTTTTCCTTTAAGGGAAAAGTCTCTCCAATGAAAAGTTCTAAACTTGTTTCTTAAAAAAAAACTGCAGGGAATTTCTTCACATTTTATAAATAAAAATACCAGAAATGAAAGAGCTGACAGAAATTCAAGCAGATCCAAATTCGACCATCCATTTTTCATACTTCTCCAAGTCTGCAGCAGAGACAGACTTAGCAATTTTCTTAAGAGCCAATTCAAAGTCTCCTTTGGTAACAGGCATCTGAAGTTCCTCTTTAGAAAGTGCACGGATCTCTTCTGGACCTAAGCCATTGATTCGCCGTCTCATTGCCATTAAAGAGGCATCCCTAAAAACATACAAAATCAGTGAATACATACTGATCAAAATGTTTTAAACACTGTTAACTGTTACAAAGTTAAAGGAAAACACTCAAAAGATCATTTTATGTTTTTCTGATGCTGCTCACAACTTCCCATTTTAGAGATATTCTGAGGGTTCAGAAAAGGTTAAAACAGGATGCAAATGACTTAAACATAAAATATACTATTAATGAATCCTAAAAGTCTAGTTTGGGCTCAGATATTACGGAATTTTCTTTTCCCCACTTGCTCTTCAGAGACAGCCAAAAGAGTTAGGAAACAGAAGGAGAGTTTTGAAATACTAAACTGCACACTTAAAAATGAACACACAAGCTAATGTTAAGATAATTCAAATCTTATACCAGTTTGTGTACAACCTAATTAGAGGAGGAAAAGCCAAGAAATTCTTTCTCTGGAACATGAATGTATCTACATATAGTGGATGTGGAATTCCATGTGGGGCATTGGTGGGCAACTAAAGGGATAAAACCTGGCTACTCCAGATCCTATTTTCAGTTCCATTCTGATCAGCTGTAAATAATTATGACGGTTTGGAAGAAGTGGACAATTAATGCCTGTAAGAAAGCTATTAGGAAGCCAACCTAAACCAAACTTCAAATTTTTATATATTTTACTACAGTGATACCAGAAACTAGTGGGAGCTTATATGCCACTAAACTTACATGCACATAGGAAAAATACTAGTACAAAAAGTGAGAAACAGATATTAAAGTTTTAAAAAAACTGCTGCTGATGTCAATTTAAGGATAGTTAAGATGCTCAGAACTAAAAGAAAATCCTCTTCAATGAGTGAATTGTCTACAAAATATGGTATCACTAAATTGAAAGGGAAATATTTGATGTATTTTATAAAATATATATTTCCCAGCTTAAACTGGTCAACTTGCTTGCTTATCTGCATGTAGTAAAATAATGTCAACCAAAACTAAATTTTATGTTGGTTGACTCAACTAGGATCCAATTTAGAGCTAAAACGACCTTAGCTTGTCAAAGTCATTATATCAAGTTAAGTACAATGCCTTAAAAATGAAAACATAGAAAAGGTGACCATATTGTTATACAATTATTCATCTAACAGTGATGAAGTGATGTAGAAAAAAAAAAAAAACAGGACAAATGAGAAATCATTTCAAGGAAATCAGTTGCTACTTTACTTTCATGTAAGAGCTAATAACAATATTAACTTCAAGACCAAACCTCCTGCCAAATCTATACCTAATATCTAAGTCACAGATTAAAACACACACACACACACACACACACACACACACACACACACACACACAACATACCTGCAAACATTAGTTATATCAGCACCAGAATAGCCCTCAATCTTCTCTGCTATATCTTCCAGTTGAATGTCAGGATCCAGTTCAACTTCACGAAGATTAATCTTCAGCAGCTCAGTTCTTCCTTTTGCTGTCAGAAGATTTTTTTTTTTGTTACTGTAGGATGTTTTACTTTACAAATCATTTGATGAGAAATTATATATTAAGATTCAGGAAAAGAAAGAGTAGTAAGTAATTTGAGTCCACCTACTATTACCAACTTACTGCATGACTTAGAATTACTGAATTTCCTATGTGCCTTGGTAGCAATAATAATTGAAACAAAACTCAAAGTTTTACTTATAAATTGTGAAGATACTTGCTGTGAAAACCAAGGATCTGAGACCTTTTATGAATAATAAAATTAATATTCAAGTACAAGATACATTTTTAGTAGAAAATAACATTTAGTTTAGTTTTATAAAGCTAGACTGCATGGAGTGTAACTCTCGTGAATCACTTTGCTCATCTTTACTGTGATATAGAAAAAGATTTCCTAGGCTATAAGAAATCAGCAATTGACACGAAACACTTACTAATGTGTTTTTAACTTGGGGAACCAGCTCTCATACATTTGCTCTTTCAGTATGACTGAAATGTGTATTGTACTGTGTAAGTTCAAATGAGTTACAGAATTACTTAAAATAACCAATCATGCTTGCTGTTTTACTATCAGTTTTAATGGCAAATTTGCTATTTAATACAGCAAACAGAGACTGCATCTGGCTTTCTACTATTTCCTGATATATAAAATGAAATATAATTTTCCCCAACTTTTATTTTGAAAAATTTTAAATCTACAGGTTACAAAAAAAAAATCAGTGAACACCCATTAACCTTTCATCTAGACTCATCAACTGTCAATATTTTGCCACTATGTATCCATACAATTATCACACTTATCACTATGGTACATTACTACACACTGGTACATTAGAATCATCTAATACACAATCCAGATTAAAATGTCCTCATTTTCCCCAGGCCTTTCTTTATAACTTTCTTAAAAACCATCACGCGTTGCATTTAGTTATCATATCTCTTTAGTCTTCTTAAAAATAGTTCCCCAATGTTTGTTTTTGTTTTTCATGACATTAACAATTCCCCAAATGATCATACAGAGTCAAAGCATTCCAGTAAAGATCTCAACAGGTCTGTGGATCTGAATAGGCAGATACTAAAATGTTTATGGAAATGGAAAGAATCAAGAACAACCAAGACACACTGGAAAAACAAAAAGGCGGGAGGAACTGCTCTATCAGCATTGAAGACTTATTACAAAGCAACAGGATTCAAATCAGTGCAATACTCTTGCAGAGATAAACAAATAGATCAACGATACAGAATAGGAAGCCTAGAAGCAGAGTAAAGCATATGCTATGGACACCTGATTTATGACAATGCTGGTTTAAGCAGTAGGAGAAAGGATGCCAGAACAGCTACTATCTACAGAGTAAAAAAATATCCTACCTCATACCATACATAAAAATCGGTGCCAGATAGATTACTACTCTAAACATAAGATGTAAAATTACAAGTCATTTTAGAAGATAAAGCAGGAAATACCTTAATGACTTCAAAGAGAATTTTTATTTTTTTAAAAGATTTATTTATTTATGATAGACATAGAGAGAGAGAGAGAGAGAGAGAGGCAGAGACACAGGCAGAGGGAGAAGCAGGCTCCATACCGGGAGCCCGGCGTGGGACTCGATCTCGGGACTCCAGGATCGCGCCCTGGGCCAAAGGCAGGCGCTAAACTGCTGAGCCACCCAGGGATCCCCTATTCTTGATATATATTTATACATACACATACACACACACATGTATATACATACACACACGTATATATTCAAAAAGTTGCACAAAGGAAAAGACTAAAAAAACTGACTACATTAAAATTAGTCCGTTCAAGTGGTAAAGCTTCCATCTTTTCCACTAGTTCACCAAAAGACCCTGTAAATAGAGTGAAAGCACAGAAGCTACAGGGTTTGGGAAAATATTTACAACATATGTAAGTAACAAATTACTTATATCCAGAATATTTAAAGAACTCCTACAAATATAAAGAAAAGTCAACCACCTAACATAAACATGGGCAAAATATTTGAACAGATATAAACAAAATTCCAATGGCTAATAAAGGAAAAGATACTCAAACTATTTAAAGAACAAAATAAAAATTAAACCACAATGAGATAGCACTGAACACCAAGAGATATAAATTTAAAAGTCTAAGGTTTTGGAAAAATGTGAAGTAACGGGAACTCCAAAGTGTAAAAACTCCAAGTGTAAAAACCACTTTGGAACAACCACTTGGGAAGATAGATTGGATTTATCTATTTTTGTTCTAGCTATCCAACATCACCAGCAATTCACTGCAAAGATGGAATGCTCCATCTCAACCTAAAGAAACTTTGGCATTTTCATCATTATACAAGTATAAAAATATTCATAATAATACTATCATAACTGCCTAAATTTGGAAACAATGAAAATGTCCATCAAATAATATGATGGATAACTGTGGTATAATTATATAATGGATGTTATAGGCTGAAATAGTGTCTCCCCCACCCCTGGAGTTTTACACTGAAGTCTTAACATCCAATACTTCAGAATGTGACTATATTTGAAAATAGGGCCTTTAAAGGGGTAATTAAAGTAAAATGAGGTCAAATGGGTAGGCCCTAATCCAGTCTCACTGGTGTCTTTAAAAGAAGAGATTACAAGAGACACACACACACACACACACACACACGAAGGAAGACCACATAAAGACACTGGGGGGAAAAATGGCTATCTATAAGCCAAGGAAAGAGGCCCCAGAATGAAACAATACTTTGCTTGATCTTGGACTTCTAGGCTAAGAAAATAAATTTCTGTTGTATAAGCGACCTAGTCCATGGTACCTTGTAATGGCAGCCCTAGTGGACAAAAGTGAACAGCATCTAGATATAATATGGATGAATCTTAAAAATGTACTTGAACAAAAGAAGCAAAATAAACAAACACAATTAGTGGGATTCAATTTCAGTTTTAAAAAAGATAAAACTTTGTTCGAGGATACATTATTATGTGAGAAAATTATATGATAAAAACAAATTATTTCCAACAGTGATTACCACCAGGGGGCGGGAAGGGAGCTGTGCTAGGGAAAGAATATACTAGAAGAACATACTGGGAACTTCTGAGGTCTGATAATGCTCCATTTCTTGTCCTAGAAAGTAGTTAAGTGGTTGTTTGCCAATTACTGGGTAGACTGAACTAAATTTTATTTTGTTTTTTTTTTAAGATTTTATTTATTTTATTTTATTTATTAATGAGAGAGAGAGAGAGAGAGGCAGAGACACAGGCAGAGGGAGAAGCAGGCTCCATGCAGGGAGCCTGATGTGGGATTCGATCCCGGGACTCCAGGATCATGCCCTGGGCCGAAGGCAGGCGCCAAACCGCTAAGCCACCCAGGGATCCCCCTGAACTAAATTTTAATACACAGTTCCATGATGAGTTACATTTCTCATTCACACGTACAAAGTGAGGCAAAGCAAAGCAATGCAAAGGACAGCCACAGTGGAAGAGAAGCATGCAGGCTTTATCTGGGATTGCCAGGAAAAAAGGAAGAGTATGAGTAGGAAATCTTTACCTCCAGAATTCCTTAATCTTCAGAACTCCTTATCCGTAATCATCCCCAGCCAATAGGCCTACCTTATAGTTCACTATGGTAGAGAGCCAAAGAAGTCCTACACTCAGGTGGCCAGCAAGAAGGGAAAAAAAGAGGGAAGGGCAGGGAGCTCCTTCCTAGGTCTGCTGCCTCAGGAAGTGGTTGTGCTCCTGATGCCTCAGTAAGAACTCTGAATTAAATCTACTGTGATTTCATAGTGCTCCATGCATATCAGGTGAATGTTAGTGAACAAATTATCACTTTGCTCTCTTAGTGATATGCTAGAATATCACTATATTTGTAAATCAAAATGTTTTACTGCAGCCTGCCCTAAGAACTCAAACACCAAGTTCAATATAATGCATTATCCCACAGAAACCAGGTTCTAGACAGTCATCTTACATGAACTCTGGAACATGCTCAAAGTGAGGGCCTGGTGGTACTGAAGCCTAGAGGAAGCATCCTTTTCTCTGGTAACTATAATTTGGGGAAAATAACTTTAATTGTTTAATCAGTGATTTGTTAAAAGATTCCAAGTAGAATTTATCAGCTCTATAAATCTAAATAATATTGTAGAGGATTTAACTAGAAATAATTAAGTTAATAATAAAGAACTGCCAATGCCACATAACCAAGTCAGTATACATTCTAAATTTAAATAAACATTGTTAAAAGAATCATACACTTCTTGTACTAACAACTGTTCTTGTACTAACAATTCTTCTTGAACATGCTTGACAGGCCAGCATAGCAGATAGCAAGTATGTGCTCTGGGGCCAGACTATCTGGGCTCACAGCCCTGCTCCATCTCACTGGATAGGATACTTAACCCCTTGGTACCTCAGTTTCCTCACATGTCAAATAAAGATAAGAACAGAATCTACTGCATAAGGCTTGTGAGGGTTAAATAAGTTAATACATGTAAAGCCTGGCCCACAGCACTCAAAAAATATTCATTGTCCCCCACCACCATCACCTCCTCCACCATCATTGATCAATCAACAAACAACATTAGAGGGAGACACAGAAAACCCAGATCCTTTCTATTAAGGACCATCTGAGACACAGACAATCCAGAGAAGGTAGATAGGCCAGGCCAAAGAAGCCTCCACAGAATTAGCATGCTTTAATGTCGACTTTGAAAAATCAATAAACTTTTTTTAAAGTTTTATTTATTTAAGTAATCTCTATACTCAATGTGGGGCTCAAACAACCTCAAGATCGAGAGTCACATATCCTCTTTTGACAAAGCCAGCCAGGCACCCCAATGGATTTCTTGTTCTTTTTTTTTTTTTTTTTAAGTAGGCTCCATGCCCAACTTGGGACTTAAACTCACGACTTCAAGATTAAGAGTCGCTTGCTCTAGGGACTGAGCCAGACAGGGGCCCCAATAAAATTTAAATAGAGGCAAAGAGAGACAACAATCTAGGAAA